GAGAGAGAGAGAGAGAGAGAGAGAGAGAGAGAGAGAGAGAGAGAGAGAGAGAGAGAGAGAGAGAGAGAGAGAGAGAGAGAGAGAGAGGAGCGGCGCGCAGGAGGATGTCGGAGATGGCAAACAAGGAGAACTTGGATGAATGGCGAGGGAGGAGTTGGAGGGGGGAAAAAAAAAAAAAAAAAAAGATGAGATGGGCAAGCTTACCAGGGTGAAGCTGCAGAACACAGCATGACACTTTGAACGACTTCGGAAGTTTGAATCACAGAGGCAAACTGCCGCGCGTATGGGCGTGGGTATACTGCAAGGTTGCCCACACGGTATGGAGGGCAAACCGGGTAAAACAGGGTCCAGGACTCCAGGCCCAGGCTGGGCAGGCCCCAACAACGCGGTGCAGATTGCACATTTGCACACGGGCCTGACAGGGCAAAACACAAAGAACTAGGCCCAAAATTCATAAGGAATGATGTGCACATTTATACTGAAGGAACTCCCTCAAGCTCGGGGATATATTTTGGTTCTCTGCAGGCTCTTTGGGCCTAGGTGCACCACTCGCCATCCACCAAGATTTTGAATGGAACTGGACAAGATAGATGTCCAGAGGCATTCAAAATGTTGGCGGATGGCGAGCGGCGCAACTAGGACCTTTTTTGTCCGAGGTGCTGTGAGACGTCAGCTTTGCTCATTTCCTTGTAGATATGAAAAAAAGCAAACCTGGGCGGCAACGGCGGTCATCTCATCCTCTCTTTTCATTATTATCATGATTCATTCAAACTTTACTTATTTGAAATTCTTAGCAGGATTTGCACATTTATATTTTCAATCTCTCTCAAGGTGTGGCAGATATTGTTTGTTGGCTGCATGTTCTCTTTCCGAGATGCTGTGAGAGTTCAGCTTTGATGATTTCCTAATGGATCTGAAGCAGAGCCGGCGGAAAACCATCCGACAAGAGCGCAAGAAGGTGAGATGATGGAATGCACTCAACAACACCCCTTTTATGTTATCAAGCCCTCACACCCTCTTCTCCTACCCCAAATTAGTTTTATTATTATTATTATTATTATTATTATTATTATTATTATTGTGAGGATTGAGCCCTCAAGTAGGGGCCTTGCCATGATGTACATGTTCTGGGCTAAGGCCCCAGCAAGCCTAGTGCCCGCCCTAAGTGAAGGTGGGCCAGCAAATCGACAAGAGCCCTCTGTGCAACATTTCA